TTCTTGTATAGTTTCAATCTTTGCGCTAGGAAGACTACAAGCTTCAGTATTTGGTGTGCGCTCTATCTCCTTTCTTCGTTCTTCTTCCTCTTCTGTTAATGCTCTTTTATACTGAAGACAAGGAATGGCGCTGACAGGAACTTCATGCTTTCTAACGCTTCCTGGACCAAGAAAATATGGTTTTGCTAATGTACAAACTCTACTTTGTTTATGAAGATATAATGGCATTCCACTGTTATGTGTCACTTGTACCCATCCTTCAGGTAAAACATCAAAATGGTTATGTCCAATTTCTAAAAGAACAACAAAAGTAATATATAAATATTAGAAATAATTATACATCTCTCTTGTAGTACTTTATATTAATATACCATCTAAAACAAGTTTCTCCTTTTCTTCATAGGGTAAACGATCCTTTTTATCTTTTCTTCTTCCTTTAAATTCTTCTGGTAAACCTAATACATAAAATTTAACTAAAATAAGAACAATAATAAGTGGCAAATTGACTGATATGTGAACAGTACAAATAAGTGAAAAAGTAAAGGTCAAATAACCTTACTTGGTTTCTTATTCTCTTTGCAGCAGAAAATATTTAATCTGATCTTGAAAGCGTAAAGTTAAAAATCTTGAATTGTAGTTCTTGAAAAAATATGAAATTCACGCATCTCATATGTAGATAATTAAAAGTATGCAGGTAAATTGTATCAATATGTAAAACATACAGCAGAGTTTTTATAAGAATAAAAAGAATAAACAAAAATAGAATAAACGAAAATCTTTTAGAATGTTTTTTTTTATTATAAAATAGTTATACCTTTTGTGTAAAAACATTAGCTATAAGAAAATATAAATGTGTACCTTCTTCTAGCATCGCTTCAATTTCTTCATCTGGCACATCAGAATCCATACTTTCATCTGTATCTGAATCTTCATCAGAACCATCATTCTGTTCTGGATGGCGATCTAGATCGTCCAACACGTCAAATTGCCGTAAATCTTCATTATGTTGTGAATCTTCATTATGTTGCGAATCTTCCTGACATAAACCATTGTGTAAAGCATCTTTATTGTCAAGACATGTAGTTTCTTCGTCCGTGATATCATAATTACTATTGTCAGTGCCAATCGATCTAGTATCGGGCTCTAATTTGATTGACTGTTTATGCGATGCTTCCCAATTCTGATTTTCACATTTCATGCTAGAGACTGTTCCGCCACCACAAATGTTTTGATTTTGATTATTTGCATTATCTTCTGAAGCCATATCTTCCATAACCACTGTCTGTGTTATTTCAACTTCCATTGCGTTGTGTCACGAGTAGTATCTGTTAAAATACTGTAAAAGTGCTTACAAGGAGCTTAGATGTTTAGCTGACAAAATTGGTACAATTACATAAATAACAGCAGAATATTCATCCCTATCTTGTATCATGATCTTCTACTATTATTTATTCACCACACAAAGCCTTATACAGTATTGACCTTTTTTATCATATTGTATATGTACATGATACAGTAATTATTGCATCGTATGCAAATTAACAATCGATACAGCTAATAATAATAATAAACATTTAGTTAAACTTAAATCCAAGGTCCATACAAAACAATCCATGGATTAATATGTATTAAGCGCGTTGTATGGCCACACCACTTCCACCAATGAGGCCAAAGTCCAATCAATTTAAAACCACAAATGGCAATGAAAATTGGACATTTGCATTAGTGTTAGCAGTTTGGGGCCACTTATATATCCATGAGAGTATATTATACAAACAAACTGTTATGTTATCAGATTTTGTAGATGGCTGAGAATTCCATCGCATTATTTAAACTCCAGAGCTAGACAGGAACAACATTGAGAGATTGAGGCTGTTACTAGCTGGAGTTCTGCGACGATATTATTATAATTAAACAACTGTATACTTGGCTGATCCTTGGCTTGGTAGACTAGCGCACGCTTGAGAATTCCGTTTACCGAATAGGATGTGACAATAAAAACAGACTTTAAATGTGTAACATACATAAATTTGTGTAAAAATTATAGGCCACGTTACTTACGGCATGTTACGTGGGGATGATACTTAGTGTGCATTTCACTTAATGCTCGCAATACTTATGGAATTATTTCATTCTTGTTATTTATCGATTGTTAAACAAGGAGAAATAATGCCCGCGAGTATTGTGAGCATTAAATGGAACTAATCCTTAATTTTCGACCTATTACTAACACGATGAGAATGATTGGATAATTATGAAGGAGACGGGCTCACTTACTGATTTCGATGAAATTAGGCTCGACGCATTTTTGCACGAAATAGATGAATCTGGCAGAAAAAAAATCACTGCTCCATGAACCGTGATATTAAGCGTTAAAGTGGACGACTATTCAGGTTAGGAAATCTGTCACAACCATGCAATAGTGCAATGTGAGTATGAAAAGTGCATGTATGGAGATGGAGACAGTACGTTCCCTCCTCCCCATTCTACAGGGAGGGTTTCACTCCGAAAAAAAATCTAATCAATTCCATATTTTGATACAGGATGGATCTTGTTTCATGTAATAAGTTGTAAAGATTTTTACATAACTTCAAAATTTTTCATGCGAAGCGACGTTTCTCTTACACCAATATATGGGGTGGGCGGAACATACTGTCCCCATACATATACTTTTCATGCTCACATTGCGCACTGTGATCGATTTTCTAACCTGAATAGTTCACTTTAACGTTTAATATTTTGGTTCGCGGGGCAGAGCGACACTTTTTTCTGTCTTTTATTCTTTTATTTCGTGCAAAAACGCGTCGAATGAATTTCATAAAAATCGATGAGTGAGCCCATCTCCTTCATAATAACCGAATGTTAATTAAATTAGTGCAACTGGTCTACAAAATACAATAAAACCGGCCTAAATACAATACGTACACGATTGTGTTACATTTAATTCCCGATTCGAAAAGGAAGATCTTCCTTTGTTGCTCACAATACCTTGTTAGAGAATACCTAACGATACGACACGAAACGTACGTACGCTGCTTACCTACTATTAAATTTTATACACTTCCACGATTACGATCTACGCGCGTATGTACAGGTTACTTTTTACAACTGTCGCTGTTTATATCATGGTATTGTAAACAAAATCAAAAAATTTACATAAAGAACACATTTAGCCATCCAATTTCGAAGAAAAATGGAAAAGAACTGTTCAGATCACGGTGATCCAGGAGCGTTTATATTGGCCGTAACTGTATGCCGTAATCTGTACAAATTGACCAATCACCTTTGACGATTTCTTTCTTATTGTCGAATGAGAAGGGAATACCTGACTGTGATTAGTCAATTCTTATAGATTACGGCATACGATTACGCTCATACAATATAAACGCATA